AATTCTACATGGTTGTTTTAATTTTAAAATAAAAATAAAATTCTAATCGTTGCGACAGTTCAGGTCAATCGAGAAAACCCCTAGGACCCATTATGGTAACCCAACCCCCACCCCCAAACCAGGCCCTAATCAATATTAAGCGTAACGGGTCTATCAGAACTGGTTTGGACCGATAATACATGGATCCCTTGCTTGCCTTAGTTAATATTCTCTTTGTTCCAATTTGTTTATCTGGTTTTGACTGGGCACAAAGTTTAAGAAAAGAAAGAAGACTTTTGAGCCTTGTGGTCTTAAACTAAACATATATAGAATCTACCAAAATGCCCTTTAATTTTTTGGCCTTAAACATGTCATGTGGAAAGATAGAATTAAAGAGTTGCCAAAAAAAAAATACATTCTTTTTAAAACAGATTAAAAAAAGAAAGTAAGACAAACAAATTGAAACGGAGGGCGTGATACTTATGGGGTACAATTTATGAAATTGTATTCAACTTGAAAGGACATTTTTGGTTTGTCTAATGCAAATACTATTGCACAGGATGGTGGCAAGATGTGCTAGGTTGTTGCCATCTTCCATTGTTTTGGTTGGAGAGCCCTACTCCTCTTAACGAGGTGCTAGTTCATAGACATTTATTTTTGAACGAGCCAGGGGGACTTGTACTGTGCCATAATTCTTATCTACAACTTTAGAGGTCGTATGACATGTACTATGAGGTCTAGCTACATGCATAAGACATGATAGTGATATGTATCATCTACTTTGATTCCGCACATTGTTTGATTCTTCATGAACTTTATATATTTAATTGAATGAGAATCACACATTTTATGGAATATTATATTGCATTGTTCATGAAAGGGTAGGATGTCATTGTGCTTTGCTCAGTATTAGTTTAAGGCATTGGGTGTCGGTCACATGTGTACCCCCTAAATTGGGGTGTGACATTAAGGACAATTTTATATCTTTTCCAACTGCATTGAGTCGGTGAGCAGTAAGTAACCACTATAACAAACTGTCGTCTAATAGTGGTCGAATAGAATGCAAGCAATAGATAAACTATTTTCCATGGTCAATATGCCATAGAGCCAACTAATTTTCTTTTATCAAGGAATCTCACACAGATGAATGCAATCAGTTTCAAGTTCTCACCGATTAAACGTTCCGCATGAGACTTCCCAATGTTTACAAATTCATGCTGAAGGAACTGCAAAAGAGTTTGCTTTGATGTTTCCGTTATAAGCCGTTTGATAAGAAGTATGTCCACAGCAGATGGATGGTACTTGGTCTCAAGAGGAACTGAAGGCATTATGTCTGTTCTTCTGGTGAACCTTATAGTCACATTTTTCCTACGATCAATTCAAAACTAGAGTGAAACCGAAGAATGCAGCACATATTTTACGAACTCAAAATTGTGGACGTGCTTGTAGCTTGCACAAACAAATTAATTAAAACAAAGGGGGAAAGAGAAGGGAGAGGGGTGAAGGGGCGGAGGGGAGATAGAGAAAATACTCAGGAGAATCTGATACGAATTGGAAAAGGAATTGGGCATAGGGCGTGATGACAGCCATTTGTCGCATATAATGCAATATTTTGGACTGTAAACACAGAAAGAAAAGATCAGTTTTCAGAAATATAGAAGGTGAATTATTTGATTAAGTTTGCTTTCAATACATGAATGAGGTGAAACTTAAGAGAACATTTGTCACAACTATTCAAGAACTACATACTCGGTACGTTGTCCAGTTCCCTTCAATAACAATCTGGATTTCAGCACCATGCCACCGTTCTTTGTTTTCCCGTTTTTCATGTATATGAATGTGAGGAACATTCCTGAAAAGAAGGCGTAATACAGTGATATACCTTGGAAAACAAAAACAATATAATCCCGTGTTACCATGCATTCTGAAATATATCTTTCTATTTCTAAGTCATCTCATACTTGTGAATATCAATATCCAGCCTACAGAATGAGGTATAATTTTGACTGTTCATGGAAGATGTAATCTCAATGGGAAGTCCTGTACTCATCTTGGACCAAATCAATGCCTGTAGAAATGAGAGAAAAGGATAAATTCTTAAATTATGCTCCATGCTGACATCCATTGAGGTCTGGATGAGCGCAACTAAAATGGAAAGAAGAATTACAGGCTAAAATCACTGGAAGAAGCATTCTAACAGTACAAAAATATTCTCTTAATTCAGAAACATAATCCACCACTCTCGCAACCACCTCCTATAACAGAGAACAGAAACAAGAAACAAGACAGGGAATATAACACAAATAACTAAGACACAAAAATATAGAATCAGAAGAATGACAGATGATCAGGTCAAGACCAATTGCTCAACATACCATCTTTGCACCAAGACCAAATTTCCCACGTGTCTGTTTCAATCCATACTTTGTTCCAGACAAAACTGCAGAAGCACACTTCATTAGAAAAACGATCATGTGTAGTAAAGCAGAGTTACAATATTCAAAGGTTTCCACTTGGATCTATGACAATCTTAGGAAAATATGTCCTAATATCTAAACTAGAGAAGCCAGTCTAAAACACCTTTGCTCCTCCCAATTGAAGGTCAAGAAAAAATGAAAGAAGTTGGAACATGACAAAAAGCAGGAACATGTAAAAGTTTCCACCGGTAAAATAACTGGAAATGGCAAGCACATCAAACCTCGTCCAAACATATTCGGGATATCATCATGTGGCATTCCTCTTCCATTATCCTATATTAGAAACAAAGTACAGTAATTAAAGTCTTTTAGGGAAGAACAATCTTCCACTAACTTGCCAAATTGATTTAATTCAACAATGTACCTTTCTTGTCTTGCATACTGAGAGCAGAGTCAGCATATAGAAGAACAAAGAGAAACAGAGCATACCTTGCATGTCACCCTATAATACGATGCCTCCCTACCCTTAGCTGCTTTTGTAGCTGCGGGGTCTTTTACTTTCTTCCCAAGAGCAGCATTCTTTGCTTGAATCTCTAGAACCCGAGCTTCCTTGGCAAGTCTTTTCTAGACACAGTAGTTAGAAAAATATTTCACTAATGAAATCTGCTAAATGTCAAACAGCGAGCATAAGATATAAATCACAACGCCATCTAAGTGAGAGTAAATCACTGCTTACACACCTCACGAGCCTTTGCTGTCTCAAAATCATCATATAGGGCTTCATCTCTACGTTCATGGTCAGCCAGACCAATCATGGAATTAAATTTACTTCTACCAATCTCTTCACTACAGAAGCAAAACAAAAAACAACACTAAGCTTTGAAGAGAGGTTCCCATTAATGTATCTCTGTTAGCTCATTGAAGTAGTTATCTAAAATAGACAAAATAATCACTTACATGGTTATCTCTACAACTGGAAGTTCAGAGATGGATTCAGCAGAATCAAGTGCATTCTCAACAAGTTCTCTCACAGTAGTGTAAAGACATTTCCCAGGCTGAAAATTTGAAGAAAGACTAACTTGATTAACAGCGCATTTAGTGAATCATTGCTTAAGTAAGTTCCACCTCATGAAAATTTTGAGCTATTAAAAAAGGGAGAGCCTATTTCATTTAATGCCTTCAACATTCCGTCAATGTGGTCGATTCTTTTTTGTTGGCTAATGGCAACAATGTGTGACCTTAAAAACATCCACCTACTCTACAAGTAACCAGTTCCAAAAAAAACTCCACCTACTCTACTATCATTATGAATATAGGAACATCTCTTCAAGAGGGGTATAAGGATTCATTGATGAGTTATCAACAGTCTGATTATATGTTAACCACGGGGCATATGGAGGTTAATTTTTCAACTTTTTCTTTAGGAAAGGTGCCTAAACTTTACTTAATTTTGAGGTACTAGCTTCTGCTCTCCAACATAACGGTTATTAACCAAGAGGAATATTAACTTCACTTTATCAAAATAAATTAACAAAGCAATATTTTCTTAAAAACTAAAAATTCCATTTATAGTTCTATGGAGACCATGCAACTTTGTTTCTCTTAATTTTGCAATTTCCCTTTGATTGCATTCATTTTTCTTTTCCACTAATCCTTTTGTGTTTCTGCATTTTTGTATTCTACTTCTGTATCAAGCTATTTCTCTTGGAACATCTCCATTATTTCTCTTAATTCAGATTTGATCTAAGTTGTCGAGGAAATTATTTTTTTCTGAAAGTAAAACATAAATTCACTTAATATGATTAACAGTCACTGTAAGCAACGGTTGACTTAACGTTAACAATAAGTAATAACGCAACAGTTGAGCATTTAGACTTGGCAGAGTTTCCATTTGTATAAAATAACAAGCACCTTGCTTTGGTGCAGTACATACCTCACATTGCAGCTAACACTGCACCTTATATACTGACAGTTTCAGTTACAGATAACATATCACTCAAATGCCAACAAGGCAATATTACTTAATTTACCTCCTTAATCATCAAACTATAATATGTGATTGCACAAAACAATTTGAGATTATAATATTAGAAAAAAGTTCAAATTATAAGGCATCCTAAGCATATAAGAAACTCACATTGTCAAAACCCGCAATGTTCTTGTTATCTGCAAAGAACTCAGCGGGAGACTCTGCACAAAATGAAAATTAACCCAAGTAAATGAAAAGGCGACAAAGCATTAAGATTAGAAGTTTCGCCTAGACTCAACCAATAGACTAAGAGAGAGAGAGAGAACAAACTCTGTTTGAGAATGCTATCTTTAGGTTTTCGAGGGGTTTTTGATTTGCCCTTCTTGGGTACTTCTGGACTCTCACTGCTTCTTCCGGTCTCCATTTCTGCTGATTAAGAAGAATCTGAACTAGGGTTTTACTTAAACTTCAAAATCAGCTATCTTCATTCAGTGTTCATTTGGAAAGTATACATCACTGTTATAAGGAATCTCCATTGATAGTCTTTTTTCTGACATTGTTAGAAAAATGAGAACTAATCGGGTCGAATTTTGGATGGCCCTAATGAAATGGGGCTTGACCCGATATTATGGTAAACACAAGTCTAAATAAGTCTTCCATAACATTGACTTGACTTGACTTGATTAAACGGGCTTAAGGGTCTGTTTAGAAAGTCATTAGTAATTGAAATTTGTGTAATTACTAGGTTAATAATTACAAAACTTAGTAATTATGCAGACATGCTTATTTGCTATAGCATAATTACAAATGCATTATTTGGATGCACCATTGTAATCATAAAGATAATATTAAATTTTAAAAATAAAAGTTAGTTATGTAAAATTAAAAATCAATATTAGACAAATAAGTGTCTTTATAAATGATATTAAATTAAATATTTATATATATTGTCCTTTAAAAAAATACTAATCAACAAACATATGTTCTTAACTAATATTTAAAAAAAATTGATTTATCTTTTTCAAATTAGTATAGTTTTAATTAAATTAATAATAAAAACTAAAAGTACAAGATTTCTATAAACAACATAAAATACATGTTTGAAAAAGAGATTAATATTATAAATATAATGTCATAAAGTATGAAAATATTTGAATATAATTTTATCAAGTCTAACTAAAAAATAAATGACTTGCAATGTGAATATCAAATCTTTAAAAAAAAAACAAATTTGGGCTTTTATTAAGAGCAATCAACAAGTAAAAATTAAAGGAATCTCATAGTGTAAGATCTAAATTACATCTTATCCCAACTAATTTCCATTTTACAAAAATCCCTTAAAAAGGTAGGAAGCCGGATACATAGCTAACCTTTGCGCTAAAAAGGGAAAAAACATAAAATTTAATTTGCTTGATTTACACCTAACTGATCCTAAACAGTCCATATCCTAATAGGTAATCGACTCACACATTACAAATTTCCAATTTCAAATTTACATCTTCTCCATTGAAGAATAATTTTTTAACAACCATCGATTTCGAAACAGTGATAAGTTCAAATAAACTCTGAAAATATCCTGATACATGATGAATACATCGATTCTGCTGAGGCATTCAGGAATTTGGGTGAGCGAAGTGAATTATGAAGGTTACAAAAGTGACGGAATCATTGTTGGACAAATAATTTCATTTTTGAATCTTAAGGCAGCGATTTTAGCCTAGTTAGATATCGATGTGGTAAGGAAAAATATTGAAATTCGATACATCGTAGAAGGTAACTCGTCTACGTTGAAAATCAAGAACGACATGGGTGTTAAACTATATTTAGAAGTGAAAAAAATGAGCCGGAATTTGCAATGTATCCATTATGCATTGATAAAACTGAGAAGATTGGTGGTGATATACATAACTTTGATGGAACATGCGGAGAGATTACGTGTGTCGAAGGCACACCACAAGATACATAAGCTCTTGTAGTGGTTGAATCAAGAATTTGTGATTCGTATTATATTCCAGAATTAGAAGTTACAAATTACATAACTGATTCAAACAGTATAGAGGTGAAGATAGGTCAATTATATAAGGATAAAGCAACACTCGTAGATGTGATGACGAAATATAAGATAAAGCACAACTTCAATTGCAAAGTAAAGAGATCTGATAGACAAAGGTATGGGAGTATTTGATATGTTTTGTGAAGTAATGTGTTTGATTTTTTAGATCTATAAATGATGATACGTTTATAGATCTTATCATCATTTGTGAAGTAACGTGTTTGGTTCTTGTGACGTAATTTTTATTTGTATGATACATTATTATTTTTAGAACTTGTATGATGGTGATTTTGATTTTTGTTTAATTTGTTGATTATGATATCTGATATAATAATAATGATACATTATTTGTAGAAATACATTAGTTGAAAATTATTAGCGTATAAATAAGCATAATGGACTGTGTATGATACATACATGGAGTGCTAAGGAATTGAGTCGCATCCCTCATGTATCAGATACATTCTATAATTTTGATGTGTGAAAACATAAGCATTTGTATTACGTGTATCATTTAATTTTTTGTGAATCTGATACCTAAAACTAAGCTAAATTTGTTGTGTTAGTCGTTAATATTCTTGATATATTAAGTTAATGTTCTTGATACATTAAAGATTTGAGTCGCAACAGTCATGAAGCAGATACATTCTATAATTTTGTTTTACGTGTATCATTAAAAAAATTGTGAATCTCATACATAAAACTATACTAAATTAATTGTATTGGTCGTTAATATTGTTGATACATTAATGCATATCATTCTTTGATTAATTTGAACATTATAGTTTTATATATTATAAAATGTAACTGCTATATGTATTAATATGATGAAAAATATGTACAGCTATGTGTTAGTGTGCTTTTCGGATGAATTTGGCTGGACTATGAAGGCTTTATGCTGGAAAAAATCTAATGTTTTCAAAGTTAGATACTTCAATAGTGAACATACGTGTCCAATGCGGGATAGGATACTAACCAAAGTCCAAGCAACAGTTGGGTTTGTTAGTGGTGTGACTACTCCTAAATTGGTCAACCGTAAACGAATTTATACTCCTGAAGATATAATTGATGATATTAGAGAATTCTATGGGGTTCAAAATATCTTACCAGCAAGCATGGCGTGCTAAGGAACGTGCACTAGAAATGATAAGGGGTAAACCATCTGATGGATAAAGGCAGATGCCGAGATACATATACATGCTAAATACTGTGTATCCAAATTCATATATAAGGATGTACAAAACTGAGGAAGATGAATTCATGTATTTGTTCATAGCCTTAAGAGCATTGATGAGGGGGTTCGATTACTACAGACCGATAGTTGTTGTCGATGGTGCACATCTCGGTGGAGCTTACAAAGGGACATTTTTATCAGCAAGCACACTTGATGGGCAGGTATGTGCTTTTTGTAATTGTGAGCTTGTTGTACATGTTATGTATCAAATGAAATCATGTGTGTTGCTCTGTAATTAGGTTGCATTGCCATTGGCATATGGTGTTATGGACACTAAAAATGACTGTTCATGGACATGGTTCTTCGAACAATTCAAAAATACATTTGGCGAGCGTGAATAAATGTGTGTTGTATTAGATAGGAATGAGAGTATTATGAAGAGTGTAAGCATTGTGTTCCCAAATGTACCTCATTATGCATGCATATGACATCTTTGGAAGAATGTCTGTTCAAACTTCAAAAGGAGCAAAAACACCCTAAGTGATCTATTCTACTCTATGGCCAAGGCATACATAAAGAAGGATTTTGATATATTGATGGCTAAGGTGGATAAAGTTGATCACAGAATTAAGGAGTACCTTGAGGATGCAGGGTATGAGAAGTGGTCGAGAGTTCATTCAACAGTAAATAGAGGTAGAATGATGACTTCGAACATTGCGGAATGTATCAATGGCTGTATTGTTGAGGCACATCAGTTGTCAATATTAGAATTCTATTTGGTTCTTGGCATTGCAAAAACAGAGAAATAGCCTCTTATACAAATGACACATTGGGAAGAAGATTTGAGGAGGTATTGATTATAAACGCGTTTAAGAGTTCAAAGATGAAGGTTGGAATCATGATACATTACTACATATTTTATGTATCTAAATTGGTATATCATTAGGCCGTTTGATCAATATTTCTTTGAAATAAATTTATCGCTGCCTTTTTAATGTCTGCAGATTGTTCCATCATCTGGATTTATTTTCTCGGTTTATGAAGCTGGAAGAAGATACATTGTTTGTCTTGAGCGAAAAGTATGTTCTTGTGGAAGATTTCAACTAGATGAGATACCTTGTGCACATGCAATCGCTGTTTTAAAGGACAAGAATGTTACAGATATGTATTCATATTGCTCTAATTACTACAAGTCTGATGCAATAGCAAAAACCTATGAGATTTCAATAGTTCCAATGTCAGATAAGGAAGATTGGTCGGTTCCTGACAATGTGGTCGCTGAAATTGTGTTTCCTCCTAGATACAAAAGATTGGCTAGATGACTAAGGAAAAGAAGAAAAAAAATCCAGATGAAAAGATAACAATGAAGTCAAATTGTTGTGGACGTTGTGGACAAGAAGGTCACAATAGAAGAACTTGTACTTTCTTCCCAAAAGAAAAATGAAATCATTATTTTTATAAGACATTAATGTTTTTGTTGAATAATTTTTCACGTAATTAGTTATCACTTTTATAATTTAAAATAAATAAAGTGTATTGTGTACATTGGTTATTCTGATAGAATATTTATGAGTTTTGTTGTTCAAATTAATAATTTGTGTATCAATGTTATGTCTGTTAAACAAATATTAAGGTGCAATTGTAAGTATAAATAAATTGTTAGTGCACATAAAAGCTAATGTATAATGTACATTAAATAATAAAGGCAAAATAACTTATATACACAATAATAACTGAAGTAATGTATCTTATACATTAAATCATATAATGATTTTTGTATCATATGCATTAAATAATATAAGGATTATTGTATCATATACATTAAATCATACACAGCCTATCTATTAGCAATAAGTTGTTATATGTGATAACTTATATGATACAAAATTTACCCTATTAAGTTTGTAACCAGTTTATTTGACACAATAAATATGAATCGTGTATCATATACATATTATGTTTGATTAATCATATTAATTATAATTAATGAATCATATACATTAAATCTTAAATAAACTATTTATTAGGAATAGGCTATTATATCTGATTACTAATATGAGACATAATAACTATGAAACATGTATCATATACGTTATATTTTATGTATCATATATATTATAACATTTGTATCACAAAACATTAAATCATATCTAAACTATAATATGATTTGAGTACAATTCTATTTTAAGTAATACAATAATGTGTTTGAAATTTAACTTTGTATAAGCAAAAAATATTGGTCCATAAATTATCAAACAACAATATAATGAAAACACAAAACACACTAAAACTTGAGTGAAATTGTCAAAAAGAACAAAAAAATATAAAACGTTGTCTATGCATAGATACTTAATTACTAATTTGTGTG